CCTAGAGCGATGAGGTCTCTGCACTTTGAGTTTTTTCAAGCTGCTTCGTTTCCGGCAGTTCTGTCAGGGTTCTTCTTGTTAAAAGACGAAACGTATTGTTTTTTCCAGGTTATTTAGGTCAACCTGTTTAATCGGACAGCTCTCATCGTGTAGTGCCTGATGCCGAACTACTTGGCGGGCTTTCAAAACCCCTGCCACCTGGTCGAGAAAAGACTGGACATCTTTATCCTCAGGCTTAGGAAAAGCCCATATCGATGCAAGGAATGTGTGGAGGAGTTGCATAGCACCGGGTGAATGGTCGATATGGGGCGACTGCAGAAAAACAGAAATCTGCGGTTCAGTGTGGAGTTTAGTATGGGCGACTGCAGAAAAACAGAATCTGCAGTTCAGTATGGAGTTCAGTATGGGCGACTGCAGAAAAACAGAAATCTGCAGTTCCGTATGGGGCGACTGCAGAAAAATAAATCAGGAGGTCGGGGTGGGGAACCCGAAAACCGAAAAAGAAAGGCGTGAACCAAGCCCGCAGATCCACGCTAGTATTTTCGGACAAATGGGTCCCCCGCTCATGCTCCGCTTTGTATGCACCCCTACAGCGGTGTGGCGGTCTTTGGCGTGTGAATAGCGATTCACCCCACGGGCTCGCTGCGGAACGGGGTCTGTGCAAAGCAGCGGTTTTAGTGTGCCTTAGCTTGTCACAGGATCGCCGGCATGCAGTTCGAAAGGGTGGAGCTTGTCAAATTCCACAGGCAGGGAGGGAGGTGGAAATGGGCCAAGCCAAGCCGTCTCCGCAACTTCCCATCCGGATCGCCGTCGTCTAAACAGGGCTCCCTAAATAATCGTGCAGGGCTGCGTGGACCTGAGAGGCGACCCGGCACACCTACCTACGGGAAAGTTTCGCACGGTGCGACAGGGCGGCGCTCCGCGTGTTGAGGCAATTGAGGATACTGCCGGGGTCAAGCTGCCGTGTCGGGAGGCAAACTGACAACCAGAGAAACAAACCAATCCTGTATAAGAATGGCCAGGACAAGGGAAGCAGAACGATTCATCCATAAATGGTACATTCCGCGGAGCAAAGATCAACTTGCAACGCTTTTGGGTCGCTGCTCGTGTTTTTCTTTTCTGTCAACCAATCCTCCAACCGACCTAGCTATCTCCTACCTCGACGCTGGCTTGCAAGACAGCTACATCGCACCACACCCGTCCGCGCGATCACAAAGGGTCCCCTGTCCACCACCCTCTAAACAATCTTGTCACAAGCATCATCCAAGTTGGAAAATTTTCGAAAATATGTACGGATACGGACCCGGTGAGTATATACCCATCAAATCCAACGTGGCCGAGCTGACTGGCTACTAGAGGCCCTGCCATTTTACGCTCCGGGCGGCACAGCGATAGCAGATGACTATGAGAGGGCACAAACTGTGCCCCAGTCACCTGTGCTATTCTGGTACTCTTTAGCTGCACTTTTGTGGTTGGTGATACTGTTACATTGGTCTTTTATTTAGCTGGCGCGCTCGAATAGCTGCGGCTTTGAGAATACAAGCGAGGCGGGGACCCCTTTTACACCGACGGGTAGTTGATCATGTCGCCCTATCTATCCTTATGCGTCATTTTCCTCGCTTCCTGCAAACACCCACAGCCCGGACCTCGCCGTTCAAAATACGCGGCTTTTTGTCCTCGAGCTCTGCTTTTGGGAGGACGGGTAGTTGATCATGAACTCCCATGCCACGGGCTCCCGGTGCATTTTTGCGCAATCACCTATTTTAGGATGGAACAAGTATAGTTAGAGAGGTTGCCAGTACCGAGGAAATGGGTTGGCAGAACATACTGCAGATTTCTTCTGGCCTGTACTCCCTGTTTTCTACCTGGGGGGGCTGGCACCGCAGTTGTATCCTT